CTCCTCTACTGGATTTGACCTTTGTTCCTGACAAGTATCTCTGCTGGATTGCTTTGCCTGCGGGACCACGACTGTGTGCTACACTTGCACACCATCCTACTGTGTGCCAGTACTGTGCGTTGACAATAATTGCACCTGAATGGTAGCTTCACTACTGGCTGCAAAGTTTTTCACCGCTTGAGCTGAGGTATATGGGAACCCACTTAATTGTGATGGCGACCAAATAATGACAGCTTGCACACAATTTAAAACCAGCTAAGCAAATACAGTTATTTGGGAATGTGAAGGCCAGATATACTGCAACCATTCCAAATATCAATCAACATCCAAATGACTTAAATGTAAATCAAATCATTATTCCATACATCATCCATCAGTTTTCTAATCTGTTTATCCACACAAGGGTTGCGGGCGTGCTAGAGCCTATCCAAGCTGTCTCCGGACAGTAGGCGGGGTACACTCTGAACAGATTGCCAGCCAATCGCTGCACACTCATAGACGAACAACCATTTACACTCACAAAGGGACAATTTAGAGTGTTCCATTAACCTGCCATGCATGTTCTTGGAATGTGGGAGGAAACCGGAGTACCCGGAGAAAACCCACACAGACACAGGGAGAACAGACAAACTCCACAAAGGAAGGCCGGAGCCGGAATCGAACCCTGCACCACTGCACTGTGAGGCGGACTTGATAAGCAATCATTATTAAGGACTTCAAATGTTAAATTAAATGTTGACCCCAGATAATTAAACTGTGCGATCAATTTATCAATTTTGGCCATGGGGATGAATGTCCAAAAGCAGTATAGTGAGGAAGTTCAGTAAGATTCTGAATAGGGCCAACTGGTTAGCACGTCCACCTGTAAGTACCTGTGTATTTAGGATGAAACAACTGTGTAGATGTGCCTCACATTGATCTCCTGCACTGCTGAATGTTCATCATTCATTCAACAAGACAAACAACAATGTGGTTTAACCCGCGAGTCAAATGCTTTAAGACCTCGAAAACCTGCCAAGTCATTTTGATGTCTCAGCACATTGAACATTGCTCGACCTGCTGTACTTCATCCAATTCTAATCTAAAGCAATAGTCTTGGTCAAAGCGATGCCATGCCAATGCTATTTATGGATGCAAGTGGAATCAGCAGCTGTCCCTTTATGTTTTCAACTTCTTTATTGCTTCTGGGATTCATCATAATGACCTTTTTGGTAACAAGCTGCCTGCAGATCTAAGAGCTCTCAGCCCCCACAGCCTCTTGTATTTGCATCTGCTTGCTTAAGTGAGCAGCTGGCTTTATTCCATGTGTTATGAGTAGGAGAGTCACACACAGCCACAAGCTGAATGGACCTGGTTATCCGGAAGCATTTTAGAGCACACCTAGTATCACGATATGGCTGAAACACACACACGCACAGCTCCACACATATGTGCGCAGGCACGCATCCAAGCACAAAATATACAATTCACAAAATAATCAGATTTTGTTAAAAAATGGTCACTCTTGGAAAACAACATAAACCAACAAAATGATGAGTCCTGCTTGGATATGTAGAAAACAATGTCAAAAAGCTCTTCATATCAGGACTTTGGTTATTTGTCTCAGGGGTAGTTGGTTCGATACGGGGAAGGTGGTTCATCTAAGAGAGTATTTCATTATCTACAACAACAGCAGCAACAAAAAAAAAAGCCAAATCCACAATGATAATCTAGTTATCAGGTGAAGTATATAATAGTTGCATGTTTGAAATTTGTAGTTCTGACAAAAAGGTAATGTCTTAAACTGAATTGTATTCTTTGGTGTCCATGCAGGTCTTTCAGTTTGAATGAAACCTGATGAAGGAGAGAAGTTGAGGCAAAGAAAGATACCACAAAATTAAACATATTGATATTTTTATACACAGACCTTGGCAATGATATGTTGTCTTCAAAACTCCTGTCTTTTTTTGTCTTTGGCATTTTTTTGGAGAGTGATTTGAAAATGTCAGTCTAAAATTTATTATAGTGTAAATTAAGTTAAAAGTGCATCCAATAAGCACTCAAATGTCAGTTGCCAATATGGCCTTTTTTTCCCCTTTTGTCTGGGGCAGAACAGAACACAAACTGGCCCAATAACAGAGGGATTTTTGAAGCTTAAAAGGTTGTCTGTGATTACCTGTAGAGGGCAGTACCGGTAGTTTATTATTCTACAGTGTTCAAAACAAATTTTAGTTTTACATAAATTATACATTTACTGTATATTTTTAAATACATTAACAATTTAATGTAATAAACGTCACATTTCATTTCAACTTCAGAATTCATATCCATTTCCATGCTGGCATATTGGAATAGGTACGATTTTAGTTTAATATATTCAGAGCCACATGAGGGCAGTACCACATTAGACAACAAGCTTCAGTTTGTCGTATGCGCATCGTGCTGGGATGGGGGTGGGGGGTGCTCATTTCACGCAACGAGGATTGTAAAGTGTCCTTGAGTGTTTTGAAAGGCGCTTATAAATGTAATGTATTATTATTATTATAAATTCCTGTACCATCAGCTGTAATGGATAATTGTGAAAATATTTCACCCTCGTACACGTACTAAAGATAAATTCCAATAGAACAAATGTAATCCAATCTTACCCAATAGAGTCAGATATTTATACATTAACCAAAATATTATTAGTACAAATATAGAGCGCATCTTAAAATGTGATTCTCATTGTCTCATAAAATTTGTATCTATAAAGCTAGATTTATGTATGTATGTATTTATTTATTTTCAGCTGCCATCTTTGTGAGCTGTCCTCATCTTACGTACTGCTGAAGTGTGAATTTCAACCAACGTTTCCCAAGTACAACAGAGGCCAGTTAGTTATGCAAGGCTGTAAATGCAGTCGCAGGGTCTCAATTAGATTAATATCTAGTACCTGAGCAAATCCGCTAAACCATCCATTACCTGCGCAATTTATGGTGGAATTATCATGAGGTAAAATGGAGTCGATCCCAGCTGAGTTTGGGTGAACGGTGGGGTACACCATGTATTTATTACCAGTCAGTCACAGCAGTGACACAGAGGCTGCATTCACATTACATGGGTCAAGTAACACAATTCCAACATCTTTACTCCCATGTTGCCCAATTTGGTTATGTGTCATGGCAGTATAAACGGAAACAAACGCATGGAATCAGATATCTTCAGATCCAAATCCGGCCTTGATTGTGGTGATCAAATTCAGAAACAAACACATCTACCTTAACAACCACCATCCATCCATCCATAAATCCATTTTCTGCCAACCAATTGCAGTTTACCCGAATAACATAGATCAAAACAAACAAGCAAACAAACACCCAAGTAACTCAGAACCTCAGTGAAACCATACAGTCGACTAAAGATCTGTAACATGACCATGGATACTAATATCCCGACTCGCAGATGACCTGATTGTGAAAAAGCAGTTGTTATTGTCATACAAATATACATATCTGTATACTGTACATCAAGGGGGCCCATTACGTCGATCGCGATCGACCAGTAGATCAAGGACTGGTCCCAAATCGATCCGAGGGGTGTTAGAGGGAAAAAAAACATTTGTGTCTCTATGCGTGTTAGTCATATTTTTTTTGTGTTAATGCACACTGCACCCTAATCATTCTGTCAGTCTCACTTTCACAAAAAGTATTTTAAAAAGAAAAGAAAAGAAAGCAGGTCATCTTTAACCTACAGTGACGTGTAATGCGTCACCGGAAGTTGTTAGCGCTCAGCAGTCTACAGTTGCAGCTTGTGATCAGAGTTGTTGCGCTATATCTTTTATCATTATCATTATTCTCATTTAGAGTTTGTTTTGTACAATTCACTGAAGGGATGGGCAAAGAATGGGAATCTGGATTTCGAGAGAAGCATTTTAAAACGGTACGCGTGAGCTACGATCATTAAAAGGCTGCCTAAGTGCGTCGCATGCCTCAGCGTCAGGCTATTGCTCATTATGGCATGCATGTGTACGTGCGTGCGTATGCACGCGTGCACGGTAACGGGTCGATCGCGGGAGGTTGGTTGATCAAAAAGTAGATCTTCGGTCAAAAAAGTATGGGCACCCCTGCTGTACATACATTCAATTATACATGCGCAGGAAGGCAAGGCGGGGCAGGACCCGGGCAGGGAAGGGCAGTGCAGAGCAGGGCAGGCAAACAGACAGACAGACAGACAGACAGACAGGCAGGCAGGCAGGCAGGCAGGCAGGCAGGCAAAAATTCAAAAATTTGGATCCGCTTCACGAAATTGTGTGTCATCTTTGCGCAGGGGCCATGCTAAGCTCTCCCGATACAGTCAACCAGAACAAAGGTGTCTTTTATCAGTGTCTCCTCAGAAGAATCCTGAGGTGTCATTGAGATGGCAGCGGTGGAATTCCAACCCAAGCTTCACACAAGACGAGAGTCCAGATTCCTTATTTGTGCTAGCTCTGGCAGCACAGATGAAAAATTGGATTACGATACAGAGAAGATTAGCATGGCCCCTCGCAAAGCATCCTGCGCGTTATCTGGGTCCGCGGCGCACCCGTTTTGCCCCCCGCGACGTTGCGGTTCGACGGCCGGTCATCGTCCGAGGCCCGCCCTTCGGTTCGAATCGCGCGGCGGGCCGACGGCGGCGCTGGCCGGCTCTGACCGCCCACTTTTGCAACGAGACCTGTCGGAGGAGGGCTCGGAACGCCCCAGGCGCGCATGCAAATTAGCCATGTGCGCGAAAGCCGCGCGCTATTTGAAATGTCCGCACCTTGTGTGCGTGCGCGCGTGTGTTCATTTGCCCCGCCGCCCGCCCGCCTCCCTCCCCCTCTTAAAAACAAACGGTGAACCAAACAAACAGTGAACCAATTCATCAACACAAAGCCACACTCACTCGCAGCTGCTTCACACATCTATTTATTTATTGAATTGACACACCACACCACACCACATCTATTGCTTGAAATTTAAACACACATGCAAGAGAGACGTTCTCCTACAGTTGGGATTAAATTAAGGAGATTGCTGCTGAGGAGATTCGGTAGCAGCAGCAGCAGCAACAACAGCAAGTTGCGGCTGAAGCCGCGTGAGGACAACAGAAAGTTGCCGCAGAGGAAATTTGGTGTGTGGCCCAGCAGGACACCGGTCCTGCGTCGCAGCAGCAACAGCACGTTGCTGCTGAGGTTGCTGCTGAGGTTGCTGCTGAGGTTGCTGCTGAGGTTGATTTTCCCTCGCCCGCATCTCCGCCAGCCACAGGGCCAAGGGTTTCCCTGAATGGAGCGTGCAGAATGTGACAAGTGACCTGTTGGGCACTTTGGTCATAAAAGAACTGTGACCGTAGACTGCCTGTTGTGGGAGGCCACACTTTCCGCACGTTCGCACTTTGCGGCCTTCCAGCTCTTCCTCCGTGGTCTGGCTTCTGCGTTGCCGCCACGTGGTGGTACGGGGAGTTGGTTGCGGGATCGCAGACGACTGCTTTTGCAGCCATTCCGATGCCGAAACCCTCTCCGTGCCTTCCTCCCTGCATAAATCCTCATTGTGTGGGCAAAAGTAATAGCCTCTGTAAAAGGCATGCCCCCCCGCCAAAGTCCGAGGCTGGCCACACAAAATGCAGGTTCCCCCGGGTTTGTTGCCCCCCCACGTGTATTGCTCGTTGTTTCGGAGCAGCTCCTGGTCCCGCAGGGCTCTTTTTTTCCTCCTATGAATGGTGCACCTCGCAGGCCCGGGCGCACCACCGCTGCCGCTGGGCCGGGGCTCGCCCCTGGCCCGGTACCTCCTCCTCGCCCTCCTGTATGCCATCAGGCCACCGCAGGTATCACATTTTCCACGGCACTCCACGCATGTTGCGGGGGTGCTTGTGGCAGACGATGAAATGCCGATCTCTGCGAAAACATCAAGCAAAGTTGGGTGGGTGGGTGGGCCGGAGGTCTTCCACCAAAGCGAAATTGAGCGTTGTTTCGCTCTTACCTTGCTGCTGCGTGGACGCCATGTCTGCTTGGTTGGTTGGCTGAGAGAAATGGGAACGTGCAAGAAGTGGGAGCTATTTATGTAAAGTGCATGGGGGGGCTGGTCAAGTGCAAATCTCCTATTGGAGGGGAGGGAGGGGCTGGTCAAGTGCTAATCTCCTATTGGAGGGGAGGTGGGGGACCGTCTCCCTCGGTTGTCGGGGCAGCTGCCCTTGGCCGTGGGGGGGGCCGGGGCCAGCTCCCTCGGTCGTCGGCCCAGCTGCCCTTGGCCGTTCGGCTGGGGCAGGCGGGGGACCATCTCCCTTGGTCGTCGTCGGGGCAGGGGGGCTGTCGTCGGGGGGTGCGGGAAGCAAATGACGCAGTCGGGGAGGAGCAGGCTGGGGCTTAGCGCGTGGTAAGCGCGGGGGTGCGGGTCCACTCTGCGGGAGGTCACATCGAATCGTCACGTTAAGTACCGGTCGGTTGGGTGTGAAAACAAAGCAAGAGTGAGCAGTGACAACAACGAAGCAATTAGTGTGGAAAGGGCGGCAGAACAAAAAGTGACCTCACCTTTCTGGCCGGGTCCTGGCTCCTCTTCTCTTCCAGCCAATCCTCTACCGAACGACCCTCCGCCTGTGAGCAAAAGTGCTCGTTTCTGTACCGGCTGTGGCCAAACTCCTTGGTTTTGGGGTAGCCGCAGCGCTTGCACTGGAAATGAGCCACCTTGGGCAGCCTCGTCCGGTGCGCGACATTCCACGCGATTAGGCCCCCCTTGCCGGACGGCGGAGCCGAGCCGGAGGAGGTGGCGAGCGCGAGGCCCGACGGAGTCGGGGCCGGCGCCGAAGTGGAGGCTGCGGGACTGGCGGAGGGCGAAGGGGTGGCGCGCTCATCTTTGGGCGTGGGCAGCGCCCGGAAAAGATCGGGCAGGATGGGACCCCTGTGAGTCACCACCGTACCGCCTGTCTCTGGTGGGTGCTCAAACGCCGCGTCCCCCTGCGGCTGCCGAACCAGCAGGGGCTTGGCCTCCTCCAGCGCTTCGGCAGCCGTCGATCTGCTGCTGGGCGCCGGGATCGCTGCGCACATCGCTTGGGCGCTGCCCTGCTTGCTTCTCTGGTTGTGCCTGCAAAGGAAAACAAACGCAGTTGCTTGAAAAAGGCCCGTCGTCGTCGTCGTCGGCGACCACCGAGCAAGCCTTACGCACCACTGAGTGAGGGTCCGGTGGTTAACCGCAAACAGGTGGATGGGGGCCGCGGCCAGGAGCTCTCTGGTCCGACATAGGTCTCTGATGCGACCGTAGTCCCTCATGACCAGGCCCCAGCGACTGACGCGCACACCGGCGAGGCTATGCCCCTGGCTGTGAACGTGGGACAGGTCCGAGAAGATGGCCTCCACCAGCCTGCTGGCACCCGGGGAACGCGCCACTTCAGTCCCCTTCCCGACAAAGAGACTGGCGCAGAAGAGATCACGTCACGTCAGGGGAACGGATACTCGACGAAGCCCCGCCGCCGGCCGGTGACGAAATTTCACGCGCTTCTGGAGGCGGCCCGGGCCCAGCGGCTTGCGGCGCGGCGGAAGGGCCGGCGGAGGAGCCTTGTCGTGGTCGGGCAGCTTCTCCCACAAGGCTTTGATTCGTGCCACCTGAGACGGTCTCACGAAGGCGTTGCGGCGCAGCTGCACCAGCGCGTCGGCCAGCCGGCAGACGTGCTGGTAGCCCCCTCGGCCGTCCGGTCCCACGACATCCTCCTCCTCCTGTGTTCAAAGAAGGGCTTGACTCGCCGTACGCGCGGTGGAGACGGAACAAAATCTAGACCGAGAGTCAGACATACCTCTTGCTCCTCCCGCCGCCGCTGCCACGGCTCATCTTCCGGGAAACCCTCAGTTAGTGCCGACATGGCCAACACGCGATGGAATTCGATCCCTTCTTCGTCTTCGTCCTCCTGCACGTCCGCCTGCTCCTCCGTCACCCGGTCTTGCCAGTCGGACACATCTTCCGCGTCTCCTCCCGGGCAGGATTGGAGCACGGCGCCGGTCTGCGCTTGCAGGTACTCCACTCCGATGAGCTCCCCTGAAGGCGAGTCGGGGGGGTCAGCACTCGGCACGTCAAGAGGATGCGCGAGAATCTCTCTCGAACCAAACGTCGCCCTCCGCGAGCCTCACCCGTGTATTTCCCCGGCACGGTGTAGTTGTGCAAGGGGGAGGGGATCCGGCGCAACCGCACCACCTCCTGGTAGGCGTCCACCACACGCGCGTTGTAGCAGCGGACCCCCTCTCTGTCGCCGCCCACCACGGCCGCCCTGGCCCTGTCCTCATTCCACCTGGTCAAGCCCTCCAGCAGGTACACCTGGAAGTGGAGGGCGTTGGCCGATGTGCCTGCAGAGTGTCGGAAATGAGACGGAATTCAGACTTTGACGCGAGCGCGAAATAGGCACACGCTTCCAACTCACCCGGAATGAATCGGCACTGGTGGAGGTGGAAGGACTCCAGGGAGGTGGACCCCCGCGCGCAGCGGAACACCGGGAGCGTGACCCCGCCTTTTGTGGCCTCCCCGGTTTTGGTGTAGAGGGCCACACCCGGCGGGTCCTGGATGCAGCGCAGGTGGCGACGCTGCGTCCTCCATATTTCCGCCATACGCTCCTGGTGTATGAGAGGGTTGCCCATCGTGTCCTTGGCCTCCCAAAAGTGGTCAAGGACCTCCTGGACCAACCTCTCGGTCTCCTCCGCCCCCCTGGTGCGACGGCGACAATGTCGCTCCAGCTCCTTGGCCTTCAAGACGACGCGGCCGCCGTCCTGCGCCGCCTGCTTGGCCCTCTTCAGCCGTTCGAGGTCTCGCTCATCCCACTCGAAGATGGCCGAGGCGAGCCGGGCCATGAAGGGCCCGTACAGGAGGTGCGCGTCCGTGTTGACGCCCCTGGCGATGCGACGCATGAGGTGCCACACGTCCAGGCGCACCACCAACCGGTCCCACTGGCCAAAGGTGTCATGGATCTGCCGGTACAAGCGGACTTTTACATCAGACACCACACCAGAGGACCCCCCCCGCCCAAAAAAAAAAAAACAAACAAAAAAAAAACAAAAAACAAATTGAATAAATCAAATAAAACCGCCTACTTTGCTCTTTCCGGTGACGGAGCAACAGTCACGGTCGACGTACAACACCTCCGGGGGTGGCTTGCCCGCGTCCTTGTACCGCCGGACAAGTCCTTCCGCCATGGCCGAAAGGCCCTCTCCCTCCGCGGCCGTGAGCACGGACATGAGCACCTGCCCGTACTCATTGCCCACGTTGGTCACCCAGGCGGCTGTTCCGGCGGATTCCCCTGCCAGCTTCTTGGTCAACTGCAGGTGAGAAGGGAAACACGACATCAACGCAACTCTCATCACCACGGTCACGTCCGTGCGATGAGTGAACTACGCACCTTCTTGGTGGAGTCCATCTTCAGGATGCTACCGAAGACGGAGGTGAGACGGCCCTTGTTGTCCTCCAGGCGGGGGAGCACGTCCCCCACGTAGGCCGCGAGGAACCAGGGCACCAGGGGGAGCGGGCGCATGGGCGGGACGTCGTCCAACACCCCGCCGGCCGGGACACCCAGCTGGGTGAGGATGGACAGGTAGCTGGCGGACCTGGACAACCACTCCTCGCTGTGTATCTCCGTCAGCACCTGGCGCAACAGGGTGGCACTGTTGCCCAGCGAGCGCGTCCTCAGAAGCGAGATGACCGCTTTGTCGCAAGCCAGTCTAAAGAGGCGAGGTGGGAAGAGAGAATCGTCAGTGCCGCGAAACGGCGAATCAACGGGAAGGCCGACCGACCGGCTCGTGGCCACTCACTTGTACGTCAGGACCGCCGGGAACAACAACTGCTTGGATATGTGCAGTTGTTTCCGGATGCTTTCTTCCCAGGCCGAGAACTTCCGATTGCACTTCAGGCACTCCAGGCACTCGGTGCCCATGAAGTACCAGCCTCGGACATCCAGCACCCGGCGAATGGTCCTGTACACCCCCCCCCCGGTCAGGCGGTTGTGGCGGCATTTGGAACTGGGGCAGGCCAGTTTCACCCCCCACATCTTGTACGGCGCCCACAAGAAGAATTTCGAGTGGAAGAACTGCCGACTTGAAGCGGGGGGCTGCGTAAAATACGCGGGCGGGCTCGGGGGCTCCCACCACAGCTTGAGCTTGGTGGTGAGGACCGCTCTGCCACCGGCCGTTCTTTCGAACAGCGCTCGGCCGACCCAGGCGTGCTCGCTCTCGGGTAGAGTGGCGGCCCAGCCCTTTGGGAGCACGCCCTGCTGCTTTGGCGCCAACAGCTGTGGCAGCGCATCACCGCTGGCCAAGAGCACGTGGGCGGCAGCGCCGGTGTCAGACGAAGTGGGAGCCTGGGACGCTGGTGGTGAGATGGAATCAAGTCACTTCTCACTTCAATTTCTCTGTCTGTGCATTTTTCCCCCCCCGACCCGACCGACACAATGAAGTCACTCACACTGAGACTCCACCTCCATGGCAGCTGCGAGGAGGACGTCGTCCGATGGCTCCGACGGTGATGACGGCCGCTCACTTGTGGCTGTACAGAGATGCAAATCGGCACAATCATGGGGCCATTCGAGCTGAGTCGTTGGAGATACAGAGATGCAAATTGGCAGAGCGTGGGGCCGTTCGGACCCATGAGTCGTTTACCTGGACAAGGCACCTTGTAATTCGCCTCATTGTCTCGTCCCACGATGTAAGCATTCAAGGCGTGGAAAAAGGAGCCCGGCGTAAATTTCGCTGTGCGCATACGACGCACATACCTACGTGCAGAAACCACCAACGAAAAATACACGAGTTAAGCAATGACAAGTTTTCCCCTTCCCATACATAAACAAACGCATTTTACCTTCGGTGCTGCTCATCAGTCGACTCGTAGAGGGAACTGTAGCTTTCGTTGGAGAACTGTCCCATTTTCAGCAGTTGCTCATCCAGCTCCCTGACCAACGGTGCTCCCATCACCATCAGCCGATGCCGCACGACAACGCCCATTTCGGGGAAGACGCGCGCGTACAAGGCCAGGGCATCTTTGTTGGCTGCCAGGGGTGACTGCGAGGTGTCGCCGTTGTCGCGCTCCTTCTGGTGGGAAGCGACGACCATAGCGCAGTAGCCCACGTCGTTCTCAAGGAGCCACTTGAATGTTTGGCCCCGGTACTGGCCAAACTGGAGCGATGTCTCGCTGAGCACCAGTTGCCAGCACTCGGGGTCTCCCCCGCCTTGAACAACGCGGGCCACGGCCTCCTCCTTCACCAGGGAAGCGTTCTTGCAGGTGGCAACTGCAGGCTTCAATCTAGAACAATAAATAAGGTGTATTAGCCTACTTTGCTTTGGCACTTTTGAAATGAAAGCATGGATGTACCTACCTGTTTGCATTGGCCAGCTTTGCTGCCTCAGCGGTGCGCTGCAGCCGTAAATATTCCATACCGGGTGGCATGAAGACAAAGTTGGGCTTGAAATCCATTGTCTACCACACACAAACACACACACACACACACACACACACACACACACACACACACACCCACACCCATCCGCATGTTTCCCCCCCCCCCCTCTCAGTTGTATATGCCCCCCCATTATACATATCAGGTCAAAAATGTTTGTAAAATGTTTTCGACCGGGGTAATGGCGATATGTGTAGCGTTTCTTTTTTTTTAAACCAGAAAAAAAATACCTCCCCCTTTTTATTTACTTTCAAACATGTACATCGGGAATGTGTTCGGCTGGGGTAATTGTTTCGTCTTCTCCTTCAAAGTATTTCAGCGATATATATTAGGAGTGTAGAAGTTAGACGCCATTACAACGTTTGTGAGGGGGAGAGAGCAGAAAATGTAAAAATACAGTAACTTATCATACGTTCGCGTAATTCATACGATATAATTCATGTCAGACATTCCCGAACGAACTTAACAAAGTATTCAACCAAACTTACCAGAAGCGTGATTCCGAGCGTTTTGACGACGAAGTGAATTCGATGTTACAACTGGAAACGTTGAACAAATTTTAGACGAATGAATCGCGTTTGAGACGAATGAATCGCGGAGCGAGCGAGGGTGGTGACGAGCCCGGTCTCGTGACGAAATGAGCCAATAGGAGAAGAATGCCATTTCCTAGTCATCAGCGTTTGGCTGAGGCCTGGATAGGGCTGTCGACCAACGGGAGATGCCTTGTGTCAGTTGTCAATTCGCCATTGGTCGGTTGGTACATATCGTTTGAACCAACCTCTGACAGGTATAGCGCCCCGTACATGGCCGTGCACTAGGCGCAAGGATGACACGCAAATTCGTGAAGCGTATCCAAATTTTGAAGGCCACACACTTAGTTTTGTGTACAAGCTCCGCGCCGCACCAAGTTTTTCTCCGCTCATTGCCATAACAGATCATTACTTCACCAGATTGGCCTCATGTGTACCTGAGTTGCTGAAAATTCCTTTTGTTTCTTGGGACATTTACCAATGCAGTTGCTTTGCGCTCCACGACCAATTGCTGCGTGACTTAGGATAGACAGCCGCATGTGAGAATGATTTGAAAGGTGATTGCGCAACTTTACCACCCTTATACCGTATTGGCCCGAATATAAGATGGTGTTTTTTGCATTGAAATAACACTGAAAAAGTGGGGGTCGTCTTATATTCGGGGTCTAGACATTATACCCATTCACGACGCTAGATGGCGCCAGATATCAATGAAGAGAATGCTGCACTTGACTCCCCAGGCCAAAGTGAACCCCTGCCACGAAGAATAAAAATAAAAATAGCGGTAGCATGAAGAAGAAAAATAAAAAATAGCGGTAAGAAGGAAAAGAGAAGAAAATAAGTGGAGAAACATAGTGACAATCTGGAGAAAAGTGGGTCGAAGATCGGCCAGGTTAACCGGCAGCTGAGGAGAAGTTATGATGTAATTTACATTTCAAAAACCAGAAGCCATTCATTTACGAATGTGATTGCACTTTAGATTTGAATGAGGCAAAATAACATGCTTTTTCTCTTAAATATATTGTTATAATCATTTGTTTCAGATGTACTGTAATTATTTTCTGTATAAAACTTAATTTGGTGTTCAAAAAGTCTTTTTTCAAACTTGAGTCTTGAAAAAGAAGGGGTCTTCTTATAATGAGAGCCGTCTTATATTCGGGCAAATACGGTATAACAATCCTTTTGCATTTTACTAAAGTCTTCGATGAAGAATAGCTCTGTGCATTCATTATCTTAATTGGAGCACCCAAGTCTGATACGACCATGTCAATGTGCTACTACAAAATGGCTGAAGGTTTGTTGAGATCATCCTTGAAGACATTTCCTGAACACCCCATTTAGATTTTATTTCCAGGCTTTTTTTGTGTCTGTCAAAAAAACGAGCACGATTCTGGGCCTGGAAGTCAACTTTACACCTTTACCCCTTGATCATAGACAGTTTGTGTTTCAGCACAGATTTCAGTGAAGAGGAACAATGTTCGTTGATTTGATCAGAGAACAGGAGCATACGCGGGAGGGAGAAATTGAAGACGAGAAGGTGCTGGATTTCGGCTCCAGTCTTGTGTGAAGCGTGGGTTGGAATTCCAGCGCCGTCATCTCAATCTCATCTCAGGATTCTGCTGAGGAGACTCAGAGAGCAGACCCCTTTGTCCTGGTGGACTGTGCGGAGAGAGCTATTGCCAACTCTGCATAGAGTGCTGATGTCGAATACCGTCGGTGTTGTCCATTGTGCGTCAGACTCATAGTGACACCTTGACCGTCAGGGGTATCAGCGAAAGGCTAATCTTCCCCGCAGCTGACCTGTATCATAGCTCATGTTCCTCTTCAAATCGTACAAATCTTTCGCCTTTTACTAAAGATTTCCGTGAAGAGAGACAGAATGTGAGAAAAGACCAATTTTTGCTATGCTCTGCTTTGTCAGAGCATCTTTCAGTGTTCAAGATAAAAAAGGTGCCATTACTTTAACTTGCAGTTGCAGAAGTGTGCAAGCTTCTCTGGAATGAAACTTGATGGTACCTCCATGGTTGTTAGATTTTGAAGCAGAAACCCCATTTAGATTTTATTTCCAGGCTTTTTTTGTGTCTGTCAAAAAAACGAGCACGATTCTGGGCCTGGAAGTCAACTTTACACCTTTACCCCTTGATCATAGACAGTTTGTGTTTCAGCACAGATTTCAGTGAAGAGGAACAATGTTCGTTGATTTGATCAGAGAACAGGAGCATACGCGGGAGGGAGAAATTGAAGACGAGAAGGTGCTGGATTTCGGCTCCAGTCTTGTGTGAAGCGTGGGTTGGAATTCCAGCGCCGTCATCTCAATCTCATCTCAGGATTCTGCTGAGGAGACTCAGAGAGCAGACCCCTTTGTCCTGGTGGACTGTGCGGAGAGAGCTATTGCCAACTCTGCATAGAGTGCTGATGTCGCATACCGTCGGTGTTGTCCATTGTGCGTCAGACTCATAGTGACACCTTGACCGTCAGGGGTATCAGCGAAAGGCTAATCTTCCCCACAGCTGACCTGTATCATAGCTCATGTTTCTCTTCAAATCGTACAAATCTTTCGCCTTTTACTAAAGATTTCCGTGGAGAGAGACAGAATGAGAAAAGATCAATTTTTGCTATGCTCTGCTTTGTCAGAGCATCTTTCAGTGTTCAAGATAAAAAATGTGCCATTACTTTAACTTGCAGTTGCAGAAGTGTGCAAGCTTCTCTGGAATGAAACTTGATGGTACCTCCATGGTTGTTAGATTTTGAAGCAGAAACCCCATTTAGATTTTATTTCCAGGCTTTTTTTGTGTCTGTCAAAAAAACGAGCACGATTCTGGGCCTGGAAGTCAACTTTACACCTTTACCCCTTGATCATAGACAGTTTGTGTTTCAGCACAGATTTCAGTGAAGAGGAACAATGTTCGTTGATTTGATCAGAGAACAGGAGCATACGCGGGAGGGAGAAATTGAAGACGAGAAGGTGCTGGATTTCGGCTCCAGTCTTGTGTGAAGCGTGGGTTGGAATTCCAGCGCCGTCATCTCAATCTCATCTCAGGATTCTGCTGAGGAGACTCAGAGAGCAGACCCCTTTGTCCTGGTGGACTGTGCGGAGAGAGCTATTGCCAACTCTGCATAGAGTGCTGATGTCGCATACCGTCGGTGTTGTCCATTGTGCGTCAGACTCATAGTGACACCTTGACCGTCAGGGGTATCAGCGAAAGGCTAATCTTCCCCACAGCTGACCTGTATCATAGCTCATGTTTCTCTTCAAATCGTACAAATCTTTCGCCTTTTACTAAAGATTTCCGTGGAGAGAGACAGAATGAGAAAAGATCAATTTTTGCTATGCTCTGCTTTGTCAGAGCATCTTTCAGTGTTCAAGATAAAAAATGTGCCATTACTTTAACTTGCAGTTGCAGAAGTGTGCAAGCTTCTCTGGAATGAAACTTGATGGTACCTCCATGGTTGTTAGATTTTGAAGCAGAAACCCCATTTAGATTTTATTTCCAGGCTTTTTTTGTGTCTGTCAAAAAAACGAGCACGATTCTGGGCCTGGAAGTCAACTTTACACCTTTACCCCTTGATCATAGACAGTTTGTGTTTCAGCACAGATTTCAGTGAAGAGGAACAATGTTCGTTGATTTGATCAGAGAACAGGAGCATACGCGGGAGGGAGAAATTGAAGACGAGAAGGTGCTGGATTTCGGCTCCAGTCTTGTGTGAAGCGTGGGTTGGAATTCCAGCGCCGTCATCTCAATCTCATCTCAGGATTCTGCTGAGGAGACTCAGAGAGCAGACCCCTTTGTCCTGGTGGACTGTGCGGAGAGAGCTATTGCCAACTCTGCATAGAGTGCTGATGTCGCATACCGTCGGTGTTGTCCATTGTGCGTCAGACTCATAGTGACACCTTGACCGTCAGGGGTATCAGCGAAAGGCTAATCTTCCCCACAGCTGACCTGTATCATAGCTCATGTTTCTCTTCAAATCGTACAAATCTTTCGCCTTTTACTAAAGATTTCCGTGGAGAGAGACAGAATGAGAAAAGATCAATTTTTGCTATGCTCTGCTTTGTCAGAGCATCTTTCAGTGTTCAAGATAAAAAATGTGCCATTACTTTAACTTGCAGTTGCAGAAGTGTGCAAGCTTCTCTGGAATGAAACTTGATGGTACCTCCATGGTTGTTAGATTTTGAAGCAGAAACCCCATTTAGATTTTATTTCCAGGCTTTTTTTGTGTCTGTCAAAAAAACGAGCACGATTCTGGGCCTGGAAGTCAACTTTACACCTTTACCCCTTGATCATAGACAGTTTGTGTTTCAGCACAGATTTCAGTGAAGAGGAACAATGTTCGTTGATTTGATCAGAGAACAGGAGCATACGCGGGAGGGAGAAATTGAAGACGAGAAGGTGCTGGATTTCGGCTCCAGTCTTGTGTGAAGCGTGGGTTGGAATTCCAGCGCCGTCATCTCAATCTCATCTCAGGATTCTGCTGAGGAGACTCAGAGAGCAGACCCCTTTGTCCTGGTGGACTGTGCGGAGAGAGCTATTGCCAACTCTGCATAGAGTGCTGATGTCGCATACCGTCGGTGTTGTCCATTGTGCGTCAGACTCATAGTGACACCTTGACCGTCAGGGGTATCAGCGAAAGGCTAATCTTCCCCACAGCTGACCTGTATCATAGCTCATGTTTCTCTTCAAATCGTACAAATCTTTCGCCTTTTACTAAAGATTTCCGTGGAGAGAGACAGAATGAGAAAAGATCAATTTTTGCTATGCTCTGCTTTGTCAGAGCATCTTTCAGTGTTCAAGATAAAAAATGTGCCATTACTTTAACTTGCAGTTGCAGAAGTGTGCAAGCTTCTCTGGAATGAAACTTGATGGTACCTCCATGGTTGTTAGATTTTGAAGCAGAAACCCCATTTAGATTTTATTTCCAGGCTTTTTTTGTGTCTGTCAAAAAAACGAGCACGATTCTGGGCCTGGAAGTCAACTTTACACCTTTACCCCTTGATCATAGACAGTTTGTGTTTCAGCACAGATTTCAGTGAAGAGGAACA